AAAAAAAAAAAAGAAATACAGAAATTAATATTATAAAATCATATTTTTAAAGATGCAAATATGTATGAATTATTAAAACATAACGTTTTTGTAATTCGCGTATGAAATCATTTTAGACGCTGGTGCGCGTAAAATCATCGCTACTTTGAACATTTTGAACAAGAGTTGTCTTCGAAACGAAGAGAGAAATATTAAAAACGTATAGGAAACGACGAAGATAGAATTTTTCTGGAGAGTCGATCGCCATTTTGAACGCGGGGAAGAAAGAAAACGCGCGAGAAACGTGATGTTTCGAATCTGGCATCTCCTCGAAACGAGAGGAGAGATAAGAACTCGTTGAAAGGGGCGGAAGAGCGGGAGTCGGTCAGGTTGAAAGTGAGGGTACGTATTCCGTGTGAAGAGGGAATGTTGGCCGCCGCGGCAGAATCGAGGCTCCATTGATAACAACAACCTCTCCTGCATACTTCTCCCTCCCCTTCCCCCCTTTGCATAAGTACCAGAGACGTAGCCATCGGGTTTCGCTTGTTGTTCCATTCTACGCATCTGGAGTGCATCCAATCCCATATCAATTGTCTCTCTTTCCCGCTTTCCCGACCTCCTCCGCCAAGATACGTACCATCTGGAACCCTTTAATACCACTTCAAACAACGGAGAATTGTTTGTTCATCCTACGTAGAGGATACCCCCCTCGTGTGTGAACGTGACTTATCGCGCTTACCATACGAAACACGTTACCTTCGTATTATTTCGTCCGGTTTTCCGGTTTTACGGGAATCGAGTTTCTGATGTATACACCTTACTTTTTTATACGCTGTAAAGATAAGATACACGCGATAAGGATGCCATGAGTAGTGGTAGTAAAGTAGACGAGGGGAGCGATGGTGATTTTGTTTGAAGAAAGGAAAAAGAAAAGGGGAGTCGTTCGAATCGATTATTTCTCCATTACGATTTCTTATCTGTCGTAAGTTTATTAAGGAAAGAGATAAAGATTATTATTCTCGAAAATATATTCTCCACCAACAATCCTTGAAATTCAACTTTCAACTCAATTTCCCCGAGCTCATTTTCCAAAGCGTTGTCCCGCGACAACTTGCGCAGTCATCGCTAACCCGGTCCCGGAGGAACCGAATCCAAGGAACCGAACCACGACGCCACGACGTTTCCCTCGTCGAATAATCCTCGTCTCGAGTATCGAATGTCGGCGAGAGTACCAATGAAATGAACAACACTCGGCAAAATTACGAAAATTATATCTAATAATAATCGTGGAACGGAAAAGAATTCTCGTGCTTGTGCTTTCCTCTCGTTTCGAATTCCGTTTAACGCCATCTCGTAATCGTCTCGAGGAATCGGTTCTTAAGGGATTCTTGCACGCGACCCTTGCCTCGCTTTCGCGTTCCATCATTCTCCATTGCTCGCCGCGCTCCCCTCCACCGACTGCATTCCTTCTAAATCGCGGCTAAGCGTTTGAACAGCGACAGAACTAAACAGCCGATATAAACCCTACTCGTGCATTTTTTCTTCTCGAATTATTTCGAATCCATGTTTCGAATGACGCGTCCATTCGAAATTATTGTAAATACGAGGAGGTTCTCGAAAACGTTCCATCGACAAAGAATCGAAATCGTTTTCATTTAGAAGAAAATTCTTTCTTCGATCTCTTTTTATTGTACAATTTCGAAGGCACCCAGTGGTTTCGCCTAGTTACGTAAGAAGTTTTCGCGTCTCGATTTAGATATCTCGAGAATGATGAGTGTCGTTATGAGAAAAGGTAATAAATTTTAAGATAGATAAGAGTTAAGTCGGTCGAGCATCGCGAGTTTCGAGTGGAATTTCGAGAGTTTAACTGTTTCGAAGAAGAGCGAGATATAAGAAGAAGAGATTTTTCGGATCACGATTTTTACGTAGTTGATACGTAAAAAAAAAAAAAAAAGATCGATCGTACGGTTTATGGATTTAAAAGTGTATTACGTAGTTAGGGAAATAATTCGAACGCGTGACAGTTTTGTTGGAAAAGTAGCTACGTTCAAACGACATTTTGGTCGCTGTACAATGACTTTCCAGCATATTTCGTACAAGCCAATATTTGTACGTGCTCCACTCGACGAGGGAGCAATTAATAACTGGCACGAAGACAAATACACGGAACGCGTGATAAATGAATCGTTGTGCAAACTAGAAATTCGTAGGCCCCCTCCCCTCCCTTAAACGGGCCTCGATATTTCTTTCTTCTCAACGTGAATTTCAATCTGTATCGTTCGAGGAATTAAACCGCCAATCCACGCTAAATCTGCACGTATTAATCGCGACAATTTGGCACGATTCTTCCGCGTATTACGATCGATATTCTTCGTACCATCGATAAAGTAAAACTCATCTTTGATCTAAATTTAAGAATCAAAGATTTACATAAATTGTGAAAATATTTCAAAGTTATTTCGATCAAATTACCCGATATCAAAGATTTTGTGCGATACGCGTCGAGAATTGTTGAAATGATTTTATTTTTGATTGGTTGGACAACTCGAAATCGCGCGTACGAACCCTATTCCCTTTCGTCGGTCTGATTCTTTTTTTCCTTTTTTTTTTTTTTTTTTTTTCACTCGAATGATCGTCGCGCGAAAGATGGATCTGTGTGCGAATGCATAGTGCGAATCTGGAAAAGCGTTGGAAAAAAATGGACACGAGAAACTGGAAACATCTGAATTTGACACGGTTTTGTAGAACCGTGACGATAGAAGTAACGGGATAGAAAATATCGAGGTAGATATCGCGATTTATTTTATCTTTTTTCGAAATTAATCGTTGAAAATTCGTCTTTTTCTCCATATGAAAACGCATCTTTCGTATCAAATTAATTTATTTCTACTCGTAAATTCGACACTATTTTCTTCTATTTCTAGATACATACAT